AAATTGGTCTAGAGTACAAAAGAATCTCTGTACTCCGACATTGTCGCAAAAATGTAATGAGATGTGATGAAAGGAAAGAATCAGAACAGGGGGAGATTTATTGCTGTTTTCGTTTGTTGTTACACTATGTTCTTTTATTCAATTTGCGTCCTAACCTTAGTATTTCCACAGTTAGTATGTTCCAAATCTATGCATCTTAATCAGTTTTTTTGCCCTTCATGTATTTTATCGCGCTTTTGCAATAAATTTAAGGTCTCCAGTGGACGTCATCCATAAAAATTACTTGGTCTGGCCTTACAATTTAGGGAATGACCTGCTTGACGCATGTCCAACTTCTCCTCTCCCCTCCCCAGTATTTATAGGACAGTCCCTTAATTCTAAGCAATTGATCCCAGATGCGGGGACAGCTCTCCCCCCATGTAAATCGATGCAGAGGTTGGTGGGGGAAGTCCATTATATATCTAACACAAAAGGTCCACTGCAGCGACATAGGGACCCCCGCGAGGCCCGTTTTCGAACTTGACCTTGGTACTCTACAATGGTAGCTTGCCTACCAAAATCATGAGCATCTATTCAAATATACAGTTATTTTGCTCACAAGCCACAAACACAAAAAGTCCACTGCAGTGACGTGCGGACCTCCCACGAAGCCCAAACTTGCACTTGACATTGGTCTCAACAACGGTAATCTGCCTGCCAAAAATCATGACGTCAAATAATGCCTTCAAGAGTTATTTTGCTAAATCCGCAGTCACCCACAATGCGGCGAGACAATTCCATAATCTTTCTGACGAAGACAATGAGAAAAATAACTTGGAGAAGGTATGAGATCGTGGAACTCTAGTTTAATGATGCATTTTGTATTTTAGCACTTGCTTGATGACATTCCAATATTATTACACAATTGATTATAATGACGTCGTCTATTAAGAACACTGACCCGCCACTCTTGACAAAGTGGATGTAGTTGTTGATCGCTAGTATGTTTTCCTGAGGGTTGTCTCTGGCTACAAACTTCAGACACGTGTGCTCCTCCCACCGCCGCATGGCCTGGTGAACAATGTCCTTATCGGAGTCACCTGCAGGCGGATAGAAAAGTTCAACAGGTGAAAACAGCACTGGGCGAAAAGGCCTCGGATGCAGCCGGATCCCAAGGATGCGAATTTGCATCTCCTTGCGGATGCTGCGCGGATCCCCAAGAATCCCAAGGATCGCTAATCCCACACCAAGAATCCCCAGGATTGCGGATCCCACACACATCCGTAACGCATACGTATGCATCCGTGCCTCACAGCGGATGCAGATGCGGCATTTGTAGGGATACTTACTTCGCAGCGGATGCAGACACGGCATCCGTATGGATACTTACTCGTTACGTATACGCATGGAGGTAAAGTTTTTACCTCCATGGTATACGTTAGAGATAATACGTCGTTAGGATAGGAGATGTCACATTTTTAGGGGTCGTGACCTGTCATATTTTTGGACCTCGAATACTACCGTTTATAACATAGATATAAGTGAGACAATCCACTATAAACTGGATACAAGGATACTCGTATTCTTGGGAGTTTTTTTAACACCCGCGGGCCCACTCCACAGCAGAAGCGAATTGTGGGTAATCTGGGGATTCATTAAATATCCAAATTTGGTTTCGTACGCATCCCCGGGCCCATGCACTCCACAGCAGAAGCGAATTCTGGGTAATCAGGGGATTTGTTAAATATCCGAATGTGTTTTCGTACGCATCCGCGGGCCCACTTCACAGCAGAAGCGAATTCTGGGTAATCTGGGGATTTGTTAAATATCCGAATGTGTTTTCGCACGCATCCGCGGGCCCACTCCACAGCAGAAGCGAATTGTGGGTAATCTGGGGATATCTTAAATATCCGAATGTGTTTTCGTACGCATCCGCAAATTGTTGAAATTACAATATCGCCACAAGAGGGCGCACCCCGTAAATTGCCATATACGTACATTGTAACGTTGCCTTTGCGCGTCGCATAAGCAAATGTCTGCTCGGATTCGTGACTGTACTGATTTTTGCTGACTGGAAACTTTGCGTATCAGACAAGAAGTTGCATGGTTCACATACAACCTTCGCCGGTGTCAAAACCGAGCATCTCTCAAAGATCCACTTCGGTATTTTCGACGGATCCGCAGAGCACTTCCGGCAGCAGCAGTGCCTTGTGGGTAATCTGAGAAAACCCCGGGGGAGATTCAAACTCAACGGTCACTTTCAGTGACCGCTTGCTTGAGTGTGCGTCCCTTTCTATCGTCCCGCTGTCCATATATATACGCTTCATATAAGTTCAGCAACCACGGCATTGATTGTCAAAGTCTAGGATACTGACCGTACACCGACTGGACGCTATGAGCTAAATAGTGGTCTAGACAAGGACGAGAGACGTACCGGGGACATCGCCCGGCGAGGGCACGAAGCCGCCAGGCATGTCATGACAAGTTGCAGACTCGTCTGACGAACTGGACCATAAACCGACTGCATAAGACTGTTGACGGCATATAGAAGTGAGTAAACCCTTCGAAACTCTTTTAATTAGTATTATGGTTTCAGATCATTTCTGACGAAAGTTTAGAGCAACTCAACTTCGCAACTGACATCTGTGGCCTTTATCTGACCTGTTGTTCCCATATGTAAAAGCACCGGCCTTCTCACCGGGGCGTATTTCACATGTCAATGCTGGCTCGCATAACAATGCCTACTGCTGGCATCCGGGCCGCTGGGGAGACTGTTATCCTAACGGTTTTTAGCACATTCTGGCCGAAATGCCATTTTTACACTTTACTTGTTTTCTGTTGTTGTGTTTTTTTCGTAGGTCAGAAGCGACTGATTGAACGTGGTAAGACTGTCTTCAGCGCAGACTTCTACAAAGACCATCCTGATGTGGGACTAGGAGACAGATGATGGCTGTAACAACACATGGGCTGTGAGACGATCATCCTGGCGAAGCAAGACGTGATAGTTCTAGTTTTACCTGTTTAGTATTGCAAATATTTATTTTACATACGTAACATGTATTCGTATAGTTAGTTCTCTCTTTTTTTGTCGCTTTACGCAGTATGAGTTTTAATAAAGGCTTTCAGGCTAAATCTATTCATTCGTTTATTCCTTCATTTATCTAATTTAACTTGCTAGTTGGATCTGCACGTATACATATCAAACACGGGCGTATCCGGGAGAGAATGCCATAAGGATTCGGGAAGATCCGAGGTACGGATAATAAAAATCCAAACGCCGGGTCTGTTTGCATCCGAGGCAAATGAAGAGAAATGTGTATGGAAATCCGATAGGGATACGGCAAAATCACAAGTTGTATCCGTACGCATCCGTGTAAAATACCGACGTCTGCACGTGGGGATCTATCGCATATCCGGAAAAATCCCTATTAAAAAAAATTCGCATCCGTAGAAAATCCCGCTTTTTGCATTCTTTGGGATCCGGACAGTCCAGGTTACTCCAGGTGTACAAAAAATCCCTAAAGAAACAAATTGGAATCCGCGGAAAATCCCGCTTTGGGATCCGGACAGTCCAGGTATACAAAAAAATCCCTCAAGAAACAAATTGGTATCCGTGGAAAATCCCATTTTGGGATATTTAGGGATCCAAACGTTCCGGATCCCTAAAAATGCAAATTTAGGATATTTTACGGATCCTACCCGTATCCGTTTGCATCCGCTTGTATCTGCTAAAAATGCGTAAATATCCCTGTGCGCATATGGCTGCATTCGAGGCCTTTTCGCCCAGTGCACATGAACCTGGATACAAGTTTTATTGAATATGTTGGTCATAGTAATAATTAGAATTAACGGTTTAGAAGGACCACTTATTAATTGGATTGACAGTTACCTTAGTTACAGATCACAGCGTGTAGTCATTGATGGCCAGTCTTCTCCCTGGGCCACCACCAACGCTGGAGTTCCATAGGGCTCAATACTAGGTCCATTATTTTTCCTTATTTATATAAATGACATTGTAAATGATCTTGTTTCCCTCCCTTTCCTCTTCGCCGATGACAGCTCCCTTCTCCAGACTGCTGAAAACCCCCTCGATTCCGCCGTTTGTTTGAACTCTGACCTGTCCAAAATACATACATGGGCCACTCAGTGGCTCATGGAACTAAATCCGACAAAATCGGAAGAAATGTGCTTTTCAGCCAAGCGCGAACCCCTAGTTCACCCACCTCTCCTTCTTAACAACTGTGTTATAAAGTCTGTCAACACCCATAAGCATATTGGGGTCATCTTGTGCTCAAATATGTCATGGAATTCCCATATTAATTACATATTATCCAAGATATCCAAAAGCATTGACCTCTTTAGTGGCCTTAAATTCAAACTACCTCGCAATACCCTCGAATCTCTTTACAAATCATATATACGCCCCTGTCTGGAGTATGGCGATGTCATCTGGCACGGGAACGACAAGTGAGGAAGCACAACTCATTGAACGAATACAATATCACTGTGCCTCGTTGTGTCAGGTGCCACTAGGGGTTCGTCTTACCTGTCAACTAGGCACGAACTCGGGTGGGAATCATTATCAGATAGACGACATGTTCATCGACTTTGTTTGTTTCACAGAATCGTTCATGGTTTAACTCGCAACTACTTGTCTGAAATATTACCCGCGGCCATTTTTTCATCATGTACATATGACCTACGCAACAAGATGAACTTAAGATCTCCTAGTTACTCAACCAATCGTTTTGCTAAGTCTTTTGTTCCGTACTCGACACACCATTGGAATAATCTT